GTGGAACAGGTATTCGAACCCGCGACCCTCAGATTGCGGGTTGAGCGCCCTAGCTTCCTGGCCATGCCGGGCTAAGTACAGTGCAATGTGTAATATTTTGTTTCTTATAGTAATGAAGTTTACTCTTAATTTGATATATTTATTTATGTACACTTGTGATATATGGGGGGGGGCATTCTAAGCCCCTGCTAGCGCTCAGCAGTGTACATCTGATCTGCTTGACTGCCACTCTTCCACTCTGTGATTTTATGAACGATAGGTCAAATCGAAAGAGAGGTAAGGGCTAATAGCAATAGCTTAAAGTTCTATCTCTGTCGTGGGCACAATGCAGATAGCCCATGTGCATCTTTGCTTTTAAATAAATAATATTTTCTAATCCTAAATTGTACAGTCGTAGTGGTTATTTGTCAAGTCTTCATGCATCAGATATTTGCTATTCAATACATCTGCGATGAACCGAAATACATTTATTTTCAGATTTACGCATTTTTTGTACCAATGAAATATAAGTAAAAACAGTTTTTGTTTTGTAATAACCAATATAGATTTTTGTCATATTTTCTAGAAAAACGTTTTCCGTGTTACTGAGCATCATTTATGCTGTATTCTTGGTGACACTTGGTGGCGTTATTACTATGACGGATCAAAACGTTACAAAGAGGTATACGGCCGAGGTGAGAATAATTATAATTAATTAAACACTTAAAACTTAAACTTGCTATCTGTAATACAGTTCTACTAGTACAGTAAGGGTACATACAATTAATTTTGTTTTCTTTACGAATCTACATTAAGTGAGATCAGCTAAAGTATAGATAATAGACCATTATTCATCATTTTAATTTATAAGTGGTAGTCGAAAACTTAGAACTAAGAACTAAAATGATAGTTCGCTATTTGAGGTGACCAGGTCAGCGTCTAGATAATGAGACTCGATTAATTTGACAGAGATCAAACATAATTTTAGTAGTTTGTTTTACTTCAATTGACAAGCGAGTGTTTTTTAACTTGTTTTTGTTTGGTCACCTGAACAAAAACGATAAGAACACGTTCGGGTTATTGACAATTTGAAAGTGCAACACAGAATGACAAGGTTTTTAGGTCTATTACTGTGTTAGTGCTACTTATCTCGTAAGATAATTAACAGAAAGCTATAACAGAAATATCAGCATCAAGAAATCTAATTTGTTTGACACATCACAGATCTTCAGCATCGTTGTTGCTGCTATGGGGATTATGTGGCTCCTGTTGTTCCACATCGACCTACAACGCTATAAAAACCACGTTATACGTTTGGTGAACGAGAAAAATGAGGCCTTGCAAGAAGCCATGGAACGCACCAGTCAAACGACACAAGCAGTCTGTAATACGATGTTTGATATCGGGCCAAACATAAAGAGGCCCTCTTACCGATTTCTTAAAGGTCGTCACGGTGGTAGTTTCTACTTGAAAATAGGCATGGCAGGTAGGCTTAAAAACCTTAGTTTACCATTGCTCTTTCACTATGTAATTATAAGTATCTTAATCAGAAAATAGGCCTAATATCCGTTATATTTGTCATTACTCTCTTACTATGTGATTATAAGTATCTTAATCGGAAACTAGGCCTAAAACTTATTTGTGAAGAAAGGCTAATTAAGCTACTTAACCTATACAAAAACACTTAAGCGAACAAATAAATCTATGTAATTAAAAGAAATCTGCACCCGTCAGTCAGTCCGTGTGCTAATTAGCTAATTGTACAGTGGTAATTTTACGTTTATAAAAGTGTGAAAGTGAACGACAATTAACGTACATTGTTCTATATGCATTCCTCTATGACGTTTATAATATTAACTTTAAGAGAATTACTTCAGTAAAATGAGCAAACGCACGCAGGTAATTGTCATAGATTATATAGCGGGTAAACTCGTGCTTCGCGTAGGAAACTTATTTAAACTTTAAGCCTAAGTGGCGATTTTTAGGCGCCTATTGAAATTTCTGTTGAGATATGATGGTATTTTAACTCTAAAAATTTCGTCTAAAGTTTAAATTCGCTTTATACGCGAAGAACGAGTTTTCCCGCCAGGAAAATAAAATATTACACCATTTCCGTTATCGGTGGATGTGAACCTAATGCTTTGTTAATACTGTTACAACAGTGGAATTCACGTGACGCTGGTAACACACATCATGAGTTTCTCGAAGGATCTTAAATTGTCCTAGCAAGTCTAGTCAGTTCCAGGTGCCCTCTTTTTTAGTATATAAGCCCGGCAAATAAAGCAGAATGATATAGATAGAGATTGAAGATAAGAGATAATCCATTCAAGCCATAATTAAAGTGTGTGAATCACTGTGATTTATAGCGTGTGTTCATAAAAGTAGTCGAGTTTAAAGTGACTGTGGAAATTCTGTGTATTGCAAAGTTATATAGAAAAAGAGTAAACTAGTTTAAATTAAGAAAAGACTTGTATCACTGAAATTTCTCGGAAAGACTTTCAACGGGAAATTAACAAACAAGCAGATATGCAACAAATTGGTGTCAGAGAGTGGGACGTGAAAGAGAAAAAAAAGAAGAAGAAGATGGAAACGAGAGGTGGCAAATCAAACCACAGCTTAGCAGATATGATGGCAGCAATACAAGAATAGCGGCAAGAACAGTGGCAGCTCGAACAGCAAAATAAACAATAAGAGAGATTACAGCAGTTATTGGAGGAAAAGAAATGGAAACAAGAAGAACGAGAAGAGAGACAACAGCAGTTGCAAGAAAACCTGCAACAGTGGCAGCTCGAACAGCAAAATAAACAAGAAGAGAGATTACAGCAGTTGTTGAAGGAAAAAGGAAAGAAACAAGAAGAACAAGAAACGGAACAAGAATAAAAATTACAGCAGTGGTTGGAGTAAAAAGAAAAGAAACAAGAATAACGAGAAAAGAAACAGGAAGAGAGATTACAGCAGTTGTTGGAGGAAAAGAAAAGAAACAAGAAGAATGAGAAAAGAAACAAGAAGAGAGACAACAGCAGTGACAATAAAACCTGCAACAGTGGCAGCTCGAG